TAGTCATGGTTACATCTCCCGATCACTAACTCAGATAAATCACTTGGTTCACCAACCACAAAGTGACAAGTTTATAGAGATTCTAGATCAATGGGCCTAATGTGGCTCGGACATGACATCGTGCTGAAGGCTGTAAAACTCTGTCTCCAGCCATGTCTGACTCTCCCCTTCCCAGTGACAGGCCAGAGTGAGCAAAGAGGAAGGAAGGGCACAGAATGAAGACCGGAGGAAGAAACCTACCAGGAAGCACCAACGGGGCGCACATCTGACAGGGCTTTGTGGCCAGTGAAACCTGAAGATGTCATTCACACTTCACAGTGACATGGTGACGGATAACCCCAGGCTCACTTTACAGAAGGAGAAACCAAGGCCGGAGAAGGAGAAGGTGAGTGCCTTGAGTGAGGCCATGGTAGCCAGCAGAGAGAGAGCTTGATCTCAAGTTCAAGAGCTTTCGTGCCCTGCCAAGGTCACTGGTTGTAACTCATAGCACAGGTCAGTAAAAATGGCCAGTGATCTTGTCTTATTTCAAATAGCTTCTTAAAATAATTTACTTCATTTCAAGGAGTATTTTCTGCCCAAGGGAATGAAAATAAAAGTGGTGTCAAGTGTGTACAGAAACAAGTCCCCTCATACACTGTTGATGGGAATTAAAAATAGATATAACCTTTTGGGAGGGAAATTTGGCAATGTTAAAACAACTGTAAAATGTGCATATCCTTTAATGCAGCAATTCCACTAAAACTGTTGTATACATGCAAAAGAAATCTATAAGGATGTTAATTTTAGTACTATTTACAATATCAAAAAATAGAAGCGACCTAAACCAAGTATTACAAATATTAAGGTAAATTCATATGGTTGAGCACCATGCAACTATTATGAAGAAAGAATGACCTGTGAAAAGCTTATCCTTGATTTGTTGATTTTACTTATAAGATTTTAAAAGTCATATGCACATGTGTGTGAGAGTATGTATGTATGCAAGTGTATATTACTCCTGTAATAATTAAACAAACTGTTACTTATAATGCACTTAGAATAGTACCTGGCAAATAGTTAACATTAGGAAAAATTTATCTACCAAAAGATGATAATATAGACATGAAGAAATACAGAAGCTACAGTGGCTATTTCTGAAAGGTGGGATTATGTAGGTTTCTTTTTCTTTTAATAAATTTGCGTTGTTTGAATATTGTTAAATAATTTTTATAACGAAAATATAATATATAATAAAGATACACTTTCTAGAAAATGAAGAAAACCATATTCTTCAGAAGAAAACATCTTCCACATGCACAGAATTCAGTCTAGGAATACGATACATTTCAAACCCACCTGGCAGACCACCTAGTTCCGCAACGTATTTGCTATCTGGCAGCGTTAAACCATTCAGAGGATGTGAGGAAAGAAGAGGAAGAGAAAACAGATAACATCACAAATACTGAAAAAGACAGGTAATTCCTCTCCCCTGAAAATCTGCGATTCTGGTCTGAAGCCCAGAGCCACTCGGAGCCAACAGAGGAAGAGAACAGCCACCGGGCGTCCGGCATTCCTAGACCTGCTCTGCAGTGCAACCCGCTGACACCTCCCCAGGCCAGGCAAGGCTGAGCCTGCTCGTGCCTGCGGGAGCGAGGGGTGGAAACCACCGGGGGGCCTCACCAGGAGACCCAAAATGACAACCAGGGAAATTACCGGGCTGTCGTGCTATACAGGAACATTTCTGGTTTTTATGTCTCGGCTGTGTGCTTGGTCACCTCATGGAACGAGCTAAGGAATTTTGGGTGAAGTATGGCTTTTCTTCCATCTCCCATTTCAGGTGACGGTTTGCTGTAATCAGAACTAAATTTATAGATGATGACAAGAGGGGACTTACATGTCTGGACAAGAAATCTTGGGGAATCCTTTAACATTTCCCCACAAAGTATAAAGCACTCCAGGGCTTTAAAAAATTGCCTGTTACAATGTCCTTTTATTCCTCTCAGTTCCTTTTAAAAAATGTGACTGTGTGTTGAAATATTTTTGTCATTTATTAACAGAATATTTGAAATTCTCACTTGACTTACTTATGTGATTAGATCAACTGGTAGGCGTGGAATTCCCGGGTCAATGGGTTACATATAAAATCTGTGAGTTGGTTCACCTAGGAGTGGAATGCCAGAACAATGCACCCAGGGCCTGACTGACTCACATGAGGGACAGGTGAAGAGATTATACCACAAACCTCATCTGAAAGTGGTCCGGACCTCAACTGCAGCACCAGCCACAATGAAATGCAATTTATCTGCTCACAAGTGTGTGTCTCTCTCCAAGTGAAGGATGCTCTCTTATGGCCAGGTGGCTGAGTTATTTCTGTTCCCTCGTCATGCACTATATTTTGTGTGTGTGCTGGCTACCTCATAAGCTGTGATCAAGATCAGATTCAAGGGAGAACAGGGGACCATGAAGAAAGGAGGAGGAAATACAACTGACTTTTCACCCCAGGATGGTGAAAAAGTTTCAGTATAAAAATATCCAGATCTTCCCTAAGCCTGCTTTATCCCAGATCCCTCACACCTGGAACCATGGTCAATTGTTTTTATCCTTCAGAATCCTTAAAAGGACTTTGTGAGCGTCATAGCTCACCAAACATTCTCACATGAATTACCCCACTGCATCCTCATTACAGAGATCCAAGGGCTTGGGCCAGAGCCAGAGGTCAAATCAGAGTTGAACCTGGATATGAATTCTAGGGCTCAATGACCAGGAAAGACAAGTTACTAAATTAGTCTTTTATCTGTAAAATTGGATGAGTGATATTTACGTCACAGCATGTTTATGATGACCAAGTAAGAAAGTGAACATCCAAGTCCCTGGGAAATAGTATGTGCTCAATAATTAAGTATGACTTCTGACACAAGTCCACCCCTCGGGCAATGCCTAGTCACAGCCACAGTCCTTTAAGAGGCCTCCCAGCTCTCTGGCTTGGTGCATACATGGCAACCCCTGCCCAGGACAGAGGTAGGTTGGTGGCTGTCTCATCACTGATGGACAGGAACTGGCCGGGCTGCCTCAGTGGCCCTGGGTATGTGGTAGGGACTGGGACACGGTTCCAGCCACCAACTCTGCATCCTCCCACACCTGTTCCATCCACAGGACTTTCTCTTTATTTCCTCCATTTCTTGGACTATGGTTTCACAACCATCCTTCATATTTTTACATGACAGTTTCTCCTTAAATGATCATGAGACAAGGGTAGGCTGGCCCAACAGAGGGTACAGGTTTCCCTAACATCTGCCCAACTCTCCCTCTAGCTCAACCTGAACTTCTCAAACTAAACTTTACTGGGTCAGGCCTCCAGCCTTTCCTTTCCGCTTCCATGAAAAGCACAGTATTAATCATGATTCTGGAATCAAAGTGCCTGGGCTCACTTCCCACTACACCTCTCACTATCTCTGGGTGACCTCAGCAAGTACTTAACTTCTCTCTGCCTTGGTTTCATCCTTTGTAAAATAGAAATCAACATAGCTAGTTTGGGGGAATTCAGTGAGGCACATAGTAGGTACTCATAAAATGTAGCTATTTATTTATATATAAAAACCAAAACCTTTCCATATATTTTATATGTGTGTACACACACCGAGACATAATATATGGTGAGTGTTCTGAAGGGTACGCATAGGGCGGTTTATATTAGAATCCCTCAGGGAGCGTATAAAGGAGAACTTTTATTTGATACATACTTGTACCAGTTTAAAAGCATATATTATTTTTGTAATTTAAACACACTTTTAAAAAGAACACACTTTTAAAAAGAACACTCTTGGGCATTATGAAGAAAGGAGGGAGAGGAGGGGAGGAGAGGTTGCGGGGAAGAGAGAAAAGAAGAAAAATGGCTTGCTTGCGGCAGAAGCCAAGGGCTGGATCACAGTCTTGACTGGGTGAGACAAGACTGGTTATAGCTTCACTGCTAGTTGCAGAGTTCCCAATGCCGTGTCTGGGAAACTCCTGCCGTGTGTCCCTGTCAGCCTTAGAGAAATTCCCTGTGCATTCTCTCGGGTGTTCTGGGAGGAGGGACACCCAGCTCCACTAACCAAGTCATCCTGACTGGAGGGGGGCGGGGGTGAGGATGTTCTGATTTCATCCACAGTCGGAGGGCTGCCCAGGCTCCAGGGGCACTTCAGGCCGTGGGAGGAAGCTCTCCTGGGTCTCAGGAGAAGAGGGGCACATCCTGGACAAACCGTAGGAAGCAACCATGAGGTAGGAAATGCTTGTAAGAGCCCTGAGCATGTCCTCCCAGCGAGTCTAGACCATGCTTCCTGGGAGAAATGAAGGAGAGCCCTGCCTAGTGAGAAAAATCTTCTTAGCTGCCTCAGTTTCTCTGTTTCTCCCGTGCCTAACGAGACACACACTGAAGCAAGCAAAAGTTTGTTTCCCTGGCTCTGTGCAAGAGCCCCCACAGGGCCACTCACGTTTTATCTCCATTCTACAAGCTCAGTGCTATGTATAGTAAAAATCATACCCTTTTTTGGTAAACGTTCCATCATCAGAACACTAAGAGCAATGTTGCCTACTCCTTATATGTAGTCAAGATCTTCATTAAGCCAATACACATTTCTGACTTTTCTCAAAGGGTGAAAACTCCTTGTAACTCCCCTCACATCACTCCTGACCGGTAAAAAGCTTTACTAGCTCACAAAATGCACAGCCCAAGAAGCTTGCCCTTCTGGACAACCACCAACTCTACAGAGCATGCTCTAGGAAACTTTATTTTTAAGTTGCAAATCTACATTGCTTTTATCTGTAGCCAGGTTTCTTAAGGGCCCCACCCAGACCAATACAGCTATTCTCGCTGGCAGTGATGTCTCTTAATGTCTTTGCTAACAAAGTTCCTGCCAGGCAAATATGTCCTATGACCTGTCCCCACCACCCTATCAGCAACCCTGCCCCAACTCAACTCCCCCAAAGGAACTGGATCTGCTCTAAGAAAGATGACAAAAAGGACCCCAAAGAAGGTGACTCACCTTTCTCATGGCTGCTTGGCGGTGGGGGTGGGGAGGTGACTGGCTTGGACTTGTCATAGTTGTTAAAGCTCTGACTGCGTCGGTTGTTAGCAGCGGCCGCCCCTCCACGTGTTTTGGCGTCGCTGCCTGCAGCGGATACCCTTGTGGTAGGACCTGGAAGTCTAAAATGCAAAAGCAACAGAGTCACAGGTTCAGTCTCAGAAGAACAGAAGTGTCCCAGGAGAAGGAACCGCAACCATGCGGGAGGCAGAAGAAACTATTCAAGATGCGGGGGTCTGTGGAAGTTTGCCGATCAAAGGATTTAGCGGAACCACTACAAATAAACAACTAGGCCAATAGGGACCCCAGGAAACTCCAACAGCAAAATGTGAGCAGTTTTCCTTTTTCCTTGAAGCAAAGGGAGACAATTTGAAGGGGAAAAAATAACTACACGAATATACTTGCTGATTAAAAGTACAAAGCTCATCTTCCTTTTTTTCTTGAATGCATATTTTTACTTTATAATGGGGCCAATCCATGTCCTCTCTAATTCTATCAAGCGTGAAACACAAAGGCCCATTAAGACTCCAAACTGTTGGCCTTGCGTGTGTATCGCTTCTGGTAGGTGCTGAAAAGGGTGTTTGCCATAATCCAGACATATATTAAGAAAAATATAATTTATAATAATTAGAAAGGAAACTGCTACCACTCAGAACCCAACACGTCTGCAATGAAAATGTACAGCCTGGCTGGGAACACTGTTCAGACACACATTTTCCTTCAACACCTGACAACCTGTCTCCATTGGCATTACTCTGGGGCTGAGGCCCAGCTTCTCTGTGCAGTGGATGGAGCAAATCATATGTTCTTTCTGTGAAACCAGGAGGAATCTGTTAGTCTAAAGACGCACACACACACTTTCCCTTTAAATAAAACACCTCATTTTGGGAGGTTCGGGGAATAAACTCAGCAGGCCTTTCTGCAGTGTGTTTAAAGATATTGTGGCCCATTCCCCAAAGAGTTAAGGGTAAGACCCCACGTCAGAATTTTGGTTGAGGGACCACTAAACAGGCTGTTTCCAATCATCAAAGCTGAAAGATGAATAAATGGTGAAATATTTAGTTCTATCTTTCTGGTAAAGCCCACTTAGCTGTGTCTAAAAGCCACTGGAACCCCAGCCGACTAGCATTAGATCTAGTAATAAGTCTGAATTTTCAACTCATAAAACTTTCAGCTTTCTCTTTCCATGCAAATCTGCAAGCACCAAAGAAGTCTGTAGTCTGGAAGCATTTTAGATATAAGCAGGCAATCACTTGAAACTTTTCCTTGTTGGCCAAGCAAGAAAGATGGTTGGGGGTAAACAGAGAACATGAGCTGGTGTGAGAGGACCATAAATTTGTACAGTTAAGAAGCTGGCCCAGTGCCCTGCCTGGGAGCTGGGAGAGAAGGAAGGGGCTGAGCTCTTCCCCCAGACGTATCACTTCCCACTGCACTGGGGGGGCTTGCCCCTCTGTTCATTTTCCCTCTCTTGTTTGGAGAAGATATTCACCCATAAAAGACAGGCCCAGAGTGGGGTGCAAGACCAGCAGTGCCAGTGCCTGTGCTTGGGAACCAGATGTGGCCAGCACAACTGATCGAGGGGGTCCAGCAATGAGACCTTGGTAGCTCTTGGTTCTGCTTCCAATGCAAACAGCATCCTGCAAGTACTCCACGTCAGTGCAGAGTAGACACAGCCAAAGGCAGAGCTTCTGTAGGTACAGACGTGGGCTCCTTTGGGCTGGACTCTGGAGGAGTCTTTATGCCCAGGTAGGCCATCACTTGTTCCAAGATGATGACACAGCAACAGTATTAAGTGGCGCTGGGTACCACAGGTCACAGCATTCTACTCCAGTGTGGAATTTGCAAAGAGCAGGGAAGCAAAAAGCAGCGAAGAGGGAAAAGGTGCTGTCCTTTCAGATTGTTGGGGAGCCCCCACTGCCCTAACCTGGGGCTGAACTGCAGGTTTTTCATGGCAGCACAGGGCCTTTGGAGAGGTAGGAAATCAAAGTATTGGATGGGATGGGTACAACCTGGAGTTAGGTAGGCAGTCTGGTCCTCTGTGAGGCAGCATGGAGAATAGATAGAACATGGGCTTATGACATCGGACCAGTCTTTTAACCTCTCTGAGATTTGTGTTTCATGTCTGTAACTTTGCAATAATAATAATAAACTACCCGATGGGAATAGTTGTAAACTTGAAATGGGATTTACTGTCCAGCCTGTTGTCAGGACTCAATGCATGTTGGTTCCCCGAGACCCATCTTTCCAGCCGAGCATCCAGATTCATAAAGGAATTGGGCATTGCCATAAAGGACACATGCTATGGTACAAAAAAAGGTTCAGACAAATTAAGGCAATAGAGGAGTCTGGGTTAAAGTATCAGAAGAGAGCTAGACAAAAATCATCGTAAAGAGTCCGAGATCAACATTTCCAACGAGCAGGATAGGCTTGGGCAGGCAGGACTTGCCACCTCCCTAGGGGACATTCCAGAAGAGAATCTGCTTCATCAAGTGTCTGTGACTGACTGAGACCTTATACTTGGGGTACCTCTGACCCATCTGTGGGCCCCACTCCCCAGAGCGAAGCATTCCTGGCTTTGGATAACAAATACAGCTTTGGTTTCTCCATGGGACAGGGGTGGGTGGTGGTCATCGCCAGGTGCTCTTCACTGAGTCAGGGCCGACAGGCACCCCTTTGATGGGAGCGGCATACCCTTCGAATGGCTGCAGAGTTGTGCTAAGGGTACTGAGACATGGAGAAGGAGGTTTTGAAGGCCTCGAGGGCAGTTGATATAGCAAATCAAGGATGGTTGGCACATATTTAGCCATAGAAAGCCACAAAGCTCAGGCCAATGTGTCACCGTCTGCCCCCATCACCACTGCACCCTAGTCAGGACAGCTCCCTGAGCTTCACCAACTGGAAAACTGGGATGAAGACCTAGTAATTTCTTCCACGTTTCAGAGGAAATCGATGTCAACAATGAGCTTTACAACTTGGGTTCGGCTGTGAATGGGTTTGGACAGTTGCTGCTCCAAAATAAGCCTCCTCCACCTCTGAAATGTTTAGCAACGTCCACCTCACACACACAAGCCACGAATGAAGGTGTGGTGAATGGAAAGTACAGAAAAGGGCTTAGATGGATTACTCCCGAGGGAACCTAAACATTCTTTGGGTTTGAGTCCATTTACAAACCAAATTAACTCAGACCGAATTATCAGTCCACGACTTCAAGTACAGGCTTTTAAAGCCAAAGGTGACCGTGAGAACCTAAGATACCTGAGCAATCACAGGGAGGGTACTAGGCTTTCTACAAATTGAAGAATGGGTTTGCTATGGTCTGATTGTTTGTGTTCCCCAAAATTCATCTGTTGAAATCTACTGACCAATGTGATGTTATTAGGACCTGGGGCCTTTGGGAGGAGGTGATTAGGTCATTAGGTGGAGCCCTCATGAATGACATCATGCCTTTATCAAAGAGGATCCAGAGAACTAACTTGCCCCTTTCACTACATGAGGACACAGGGAGAAGTCAGCAGTCTGCAACCCGGGAGAGGGCTTTCACCAGAATCCACCTTGCTGGTGTCCTGCTCTTGGATGTCCAGATGCCAGTACTGTGAGCAATACATTTCTGTTGTCTATAAGCTACTCAGTCTATGGCATTTTGTTATAGTAGCCCGACAGACTAAGACAGGGTTCTAGCTCCATCTTGTCCAGACCTTAAGGAGTTAATTGGCCACAGCTGAAATCTAAATTACACGCATATTGATAAAAGAATATACAAAGTTCAGAAGCAACTTCAAAGGAAAATGATAACCTTGGAGGTTGGTGGATGGCTAGGAAAGGTTCCAAACAAAAGCAACCCGAGAGAAGATGTGGCACCTGGACTGGGAATGTGAGTAGAGGGCAAGAATGTAGGGAGTCATGGTGAGACGCAGAGGTGTTATGCAGAGGGATGCCTGTAAAAGGGAGAGGAAAGAAAGGTCGGGTCCTAGCCAGTTTTGCTCAGTGGATAGAGCGTTGGCCTGTGGACTGAAGGGTCCCAGGTTCGATTCTGGTCAAGGGCACATGCCCAGGTTATGGGCTCGATCCCTAGTAGGGGGTGTGCAAGAGGGAGCCAATCAATGATTCTCTCTCATCATTGATGTTTCTATCTCTCTCTTCCTCTCCCTTCCTCTCTGAAATCAATAAAAATATGTTAAAAAAAAAAGAAAGGTCTGCTGTGTGTTGGGGCTTGGGGAACAGAGTGGGAGGAAGTGAGGCTGGAGAAGCAGGCGGGGCCAGAGTATGTCAGTAGGAATCCTGGACTTTGTCCTGCCCCCCAGCAATGAGGCATTAATTATGGAGTCTGAGAGCGGAGTGGAATCACCATCTTCTAGTTCACAGTGCCGGGAGCCTGAGCCTCTGGCTAGCATTTTGAAATTCATTACTGTGAGCATCCTTATGCGCCAGGAGAACTCCTACCAAGCCCCAGCCCGGAAGCAGACGCTGTCTGCACGTTAGATTCCCTCTGTGCTGAAGAGCTGGGTCTCGCTCCTGTGGAACAGCTGCAGGTATCCCAGCAGATGCTGCCAGGGTGCCCGCCTCGCTGACGCGAAGCAGAGAGAGAGGAGCATGGCCAGCCAACCCTGTGTCATTCACTCCCCGCAGCGGTGATAGTGCCAGAAGGTTCCAGCGGCTCCTCAGGAAGAGCAACTCCAAATCTCATGATCATTCCATGTCCGAACACAGGTCCAAAGGGACAGAGGATACAGATGGGTTCTTTCAAACATACACATGTGGCTTTTTTAGAAAAAAAAAAAATTAAGTGTAAGGGAAGTGGTGGAACAAAGAGGCGGAAGAAAGACCCTGCTGCTATCGGAGCCATGGTCAATTTCTGCAACATGTGCAGAGCCCAGCAGGCAGGGCGGTAAAGCCAGGGTTCCTGGCACGTAACCTGCGAGTGCATCCTGGCTCCTCGCGCCGTACGTGCTGATGAGAAGAAAGCTGTTCTTCCCCCCAAAACCACTTCAAAGGCCGGGAGCAGAAGATGGCCCTCCCAGGAAGGATGGCAGCTTGTGTGCACATGCTCGGGGCCGTGGAGGAACCGGGGGTCATAATCAGAGATGCTTTGTGCTAGACAAGATGATTAAATGCTAAATCTCTCATCTCCATGGCATCTGCTTTTCAGCAGCCGGGCCGAACTTCTAGCAGCCCAGATTCCTCTCTGTAAGACGGTCGTGTAGAGATCAGCTCCGTGGGACTTGCTGGAAGTGGCCTGGTTGCCTTACCTACCCCAGGTCGACCCCAAACACCAGCATCAACATATCTGCTAGCTACGGCGCACTGACTGCATCCAAGTGTTAGAGGTTAGAAATGACTCTGTAAACCACAGTGCAGCGTGAGGCAGGATTATCCCACGTCACCAATAAGGAAACACGGGTCATGGAGAGTCAGTGATCGGCCTGGGCACCACAGGCAGTGGTGAGCATGAGCTTTCTCTCAGTTGAAATGAAAAGGTGCACTCAAGCCACTATGCTTCTCTGCCTCCCGCAGGTAGAATGAGCCCAAATACCTGGTGCTCACCAGGGGTGCCGAGAGACAGTAACAGTGGTCAAAGGCAGGACTACATGGAAACCCTTCCCTCCTGTACCAGTTCCCTCCATAGGCCCTTCCCTGCATCCAGATTTGAGGATGCAATGATAGGATAGCAAGCACTGAGTCCAGAGAACTAGCTAATGAGCAAGCCCACTTGTTATTTCAGAAGAACGAGGTGCTATCTCCATGGTACACAGGGCATCTAGAATCAAAAATGAGATACAGCTGCCTTATTGCTTTGTCTCCTCTGACCAGTTGGAGTCATGCTTCAGGTCTTTGTAACTCAAGAGAAAACCAATTGCACATTAGTAGTTTTAACAACAACAAAAAGCACAACACACATAAATGAGATGCAGGTCAGGTGGGATCAGGGTCAGGACAGAGCAGGGAGCCAAACTCATCATAAAACCACTGCAAAAACCACCTAGACACTTGCCTCTCCCTAAGTCAGAATGGATTTTGATGATCAAGCAATCAGCCCAAACCAATGAAATGCAGAAACATTACACACTCAACCTCATTTACACTCTGTCCCTCCCCACCCCACCCCTTCACACACATACACACATACACACACACCCCCCAATGACCCCACACCCACTCTCAGAACTCTCCCAACATTAGCCAAAGCATGTTTGGTTTTCTTGAACTGCAAACATGAAGTGGGGAGAGGGGCCAACAGGAAACATAGCAGGAACAAAGGAAACAATGGGTTGGGTTGAAACCATGCTTTGCAGGACACAGAGGAAGTCTAACCTAGAGATCTTTTTCTGACCCAGAGTGAAGCGGATGATTTTGCTTTGAGATGAATCCTTGGATGATGCACTGCATGATGGGAAAAGAAAAAAAGTGGAAGAGCTGAGTGAGGGGAGAGAAGATACATTAGACACACAAATAAAGGACGGCAGTCTTAGAATAATGCAATGCTCTGGGTTTTTCCACTGCCCGCCTTTCCCACAATATGCAACTTTCTTTCTAGGTCTAACTTTCCTGATTCCATGAATTTCCAATGTGAAGAAACTGCTACCAAAATTACCAAAAAACTTTTGAGGTTTTCTTTCTTCTTCTTTTCTCTTTTAAACACCAAATACCTTTTTCTGCTACCAGTCATGATAAGGCACTTTTCTCACAATGAGATGCTAAAGCAAGGGGTCTCTGACAGGTGAAAAACAAACAAAACAAACAAAACAAAACAAACTTTTCACTTTTCTAAAGTGGTTAGATGCTTCTATTTCACAGGCTTTTCTGGGGGCTTTTCTGATGAATGTCCTGAATGTCCCATAAAGTTGACTGCCCCCCCCCCCAAAAAAAAGGGTATAGATGTTTGCAAGTTTTGCTAATCTTGAAAACTTTTGCTCTCATTGGCATAAAAATGATCATTTAAAGTATTATGAGTGTACGAAGTTTTGGGCTATGGGCCATATATTTGCACATCTGAAGAATCTTGGTTGGGATTAGTAAAAGGAAAAGTTAAACTTATGTACTGCCTTATGAAAGATGGAAATACTTACCTTTTTTGAATCCATGTTCCTAAAAGGATCTGAGGTGAGAAATACAATGTTGGTGCCATTAGAAATACAATGTTGGCTCTATCAATTAAGGAGAGTTCTGTGGCCAAGTTTGAAGAATACTTTCTAGACTCCCTTCTGAAGTGAAGGGAGAGACAGAAGAGAATAGACAAAAATGAAGGAAGGAAGGGAGGGAGGGAGGGATTTTCTGGATTTTCCCTAAACAGTTGAATACTGATACTAAGCAAGGTAGACACAGATGGAGAGAGAAGCAAGTCCTGGGTACTAGGCTCCTCTCCTGGCCTCTAGACTACAGAGGAGCTTTGACAGGTAGAATGTGGATCAAGTCCTCAGCCACCACATAGAGTAATGAGAAGAGCTGTGGTAGACAGGCAAAAGTGTCTCCATGCGGCCATCATTGGAAACCTTGCTCTGATTCCTTCCTGCTAACGTTGCATATGTCCTTGGCCAGCTTCAACAACTCCTCTTCGCAAACATCATAGACAAGTTGCCTAGTTTTAGTATTTCTTATCCAAAGAGGTACAGTATGTAGGCATGTTCATATGTGGCAAAATTCAAACACGGGACCAACAGAAACCTAGCATTGGGGGTTAGCATCTAACATTGATGATCAGGGACCCAAGCCATTACCCCTGGGATTTTGGTTACTACAGGCACAATTTGGGGAGAGTAAGACAATGGAACTGAGCCAATGAAGCAATTTTACTATTTTTTTTACACTTATAGCCAGAGGCTTGCATGGGCTGCCATGTCCCTAGGACTGGAAAAGAAGATTAGAGGAAGTATCAGTATATAACGATGAAACCAGTCATATGCAGAAGTAACTCAATTGGGACAGGACAAAGGATGAGCGAGGAAGGACAGCAACTCTAAAAACAGCCCCTGTCACCACCACGATGGCAGGAACCCTCTGCAATAAATGGATATGAAAACCTGGCTTCAGTGAGTTTGGCTCGTCATTAGGTAAAGCATTTATTAATAGTAGGATGTTTTTTCTTCCTGGGAGGTGGGTGACCTAACTGGAACATCTGGTTCTTTTAAGAAAACAAACGCCTACCATGGAAATGGCTGCCTCAGGCTGGCCAGGTGACACAAGCCCAGTGTTTCTCCAGCCGTGTGCCTTGTAACCCTAGGCCGTGAGATGCATTATGAAATAAGAGTTCTGTGGCCATGTTTGAGGAATGCTTCCTATGCCCTCTTCTGAAGATTCACAGAGCACACATGTCCCTCTCTCCAGCTTCCTCATCTCAATCAGTGCCACCATTTCCCTCGATGCTCAAGCCAGAAATCTAGGCTTTATCTGTGAATCTTCCCTCACTCGCTTCAGATAGTCACTCTATCTGTGGTCCCAAAATATGAACTCAGCCTCCAAAATATGACGAGTTGGTCCATCTCTTTATGTGTCCCACCACCTTGAACTCAGCCACTATCATCCAGAGACCACATAAACCACTTCCTCCTATTCTTACTCCCCATGATGGGTGGCCTCCCCCACTTCTTCCCCCTGCAACCTCACTCTCCAAAGAAAAGCAAAGGTGGCTTTTTTAAACACTTCGAATCAAGTCAAGTCTCTCTCCTGCTCAAGACTCTCCCATGGCTTCCTGCCCCCTTTAGAATGAAGTACAGACTTCTTGCCCAGCTTAGCCAGCACTGTGTGACCCGTCCTCAGGGCCATAGCACTGCTCAACTCCAGGGGCCACCACTCACACGTCCTCCACATGAACAGTGGCAGGCCTCTGCCACGTTTAACTTCCCACCTCCCAGCACCCACTGCACTCCAGCCACACCAGCCTCCTTTCTGCTCCTCCACCTGCCAAGCTTCTCCTATCGCAGGGCCTTTGTGCCAGCTGCTCCCTCTGCCTGATCTATTCTACACCCATGCTCTGCGTGGCTCACTCCTTGCCAGTCATATTTCAACTTCGGTGTCATGTCCTCAGAGAGACCCTCCTATCAACCTAATCAAAGTTACCGACCCAGTCCGTCTGAATCCAATCATCTCATTGTAACACCACCATCTGATATTTTTCTTCCCCCATTTATGTGCCTGCTTCCTCCCATAGAATGTAGAGAGCAGGCACCCTGGCTATCTCACTCACCCTTGACCTCCCAAGTGCCTGGAACAGTGGCTGGCACACAGAAGTCATTCAAATACTAACTAAATAAAGGTATGTTCCACATTCAAGGATCTGAGAACCTCAATAACAGTTACAACAACTTAACCCAAATTATTTCCCAATTTCTTCTCCCATAGGACCCTTCCCCCAGCAAGTCATCACCCAGGTAATAAGCACCCTGCAGAATCAGTCCTGCTTACGCGGTCATCCAGCTCAGCTGGGAATCTCTGATCTGAGAATGGTCCCCAGGGCAGGGTGCAGAGGCTGGCTGCCTGGCTGGCTAGTCTTCCTTGGGAGTCTAGGCATCTCTGCCAGCTCACAAATCCCCAAAACATGAATTGGACACAATTAGATAATTCACGAGGGGGTCTGATGTCCATCACATCCGGCACTGCTGGTTTTAACAGCACAATCGGGAACCAGCACTTCTCATGGGAACATGAAACCGTCTGTGAGGTACCTGCTGTGTGCGAACCGCTCTGTGCTCTGCCTAACCTCAATGGGCAGCTGAGGGTGTGAAGGTGCGGGAAGCCCTGTGCTTATGAATGCTAGTACTGGGGCCTGGAAGCAAAGGCCTATGCTCTTTAGCACAAATTAAATGAGATCAAGTAATCAATTTTATTGGTGACACTGAGGTTTGATAAAGGTTTACGACTTAAAAACAATCATTAGAGGACTTTTCTCTAACTTTACTATGAGTTAAAAAAAACTTTCTAACTCCTAATCTCCTCTTTTTTTTTTTTTTTTTTTTGCCATTAAAACAAATGCTCCACAAGGTGATTTGCAGAACTGTTTAGGAATACGCTTTCCCACTGTAACACCCTATACGGAAACTCCCCTGACCCTCAGCTTGTACGTCACTCTATGGTGAGTTTCACTGGCAAGCATCAGTCCCTAAAATCCGGGACCTAGTCCTACAGAGCAAAGGGCCACAGCCGACATGAGTACTACCACTCTAGGGTCAACAAAACCCAGCACATTCTATGGGAACTGCTCCCAGCAGGGATGCTGGTCCCCAGGAAAGGGCTGTTGCTGAGGACCACTTGCCATCTTTCTTCTTCGTTCCTGACATGTATCTCCTGGCAAAGCAGAGCTATCTGCTGGAGAACTATGGCCTCCAACAGGGGAAATTACTTATACATATAACACCAAACACCCAGCATGTAGGCCAGCCGTGGGCAAACTACGGCCCGCGGGCCGGATCCGGCCCGTTTGAAATGAATAAAACTAAAAAAAAAAAAAGACCGTACCCTTTTATGTAATGATGTTTACTTTGAATTTATATTAGTTCACACAAACACTCCATCCATGCTTTTGTTCTGGCCCTCCGGTCCAGTTTAAGAACCCATTGTGGCCCTCGAGTCAAAAAGTTTGCCCACCCCTGGCGTAGGCAAACACGCAAGAGAAGTTTGAAGTCTATTTTAGGGGCTGTTTACTGCAGACAAGCGAGTGTGTCATAGGCCAGAGTTAAGGCAGGAGCAGCTACTTAGCTTTGGCTGCTGGCGATTCTGACTTTAAAACAGTACACGTCACCGCCAGGCCCAGGAGGCCGCCTCCGTCTCAAGGTCGTGCTAACTCCTCACTAACTATCAGTAGTTCTCAGCAGGAAGAAGCTCACATAAATACTATGTGCAGCACACAGGCTAGAATTTGGTCGGTGGGAAGGAGGAGCCCTGGAAAAACAGAATTATCAGTTGGCAAGGAGCCCCCACCTGGACTGCATTTCGGCTTGTGCTTTTGACTGCTGATGTGGTGCTGGCTGGTGAGGCTGGCACAGGGCTTGGGGAGTGGCTGGCACCTGTTGCTGAGGAGTGCCAGCCTGGCACTGGAAGGGGGCCCCGGCCGCCTGGGACACAGCTGGCGGCAGTGGAGAGGAGAGGTGCTGCTTCTGGGGCTGCTGCTGCTGCTGCTTGTACCGGGAGAGGCTGAAGAAGAGGCCTAGGATGGCCTTGAGGTTTCCATTCCTGATTTCTGCAGGACAACAGAGAGAGCGGTTAGAGAAGGAGTCCTTTCTTACTCTGACCCAGTGGGCTGCCTCAGCCCTCACCTGAGTGGCATTCCTCTAGGTCTAGGATATGACAGATTTCCTGAACACTTGTGTCATTGGTATCACAGTCAATTAAAACCAGGCCTAAACCACAAAGAAATTAGCTTATTTTCCCGCTGGCATTAGAGTGGATACATGAGGCAAGTTGCAACTGGATGCCTGCAAGTGCCAGGCGGAAACTCTCAGTAAGGGCGGAGCCAAAAAGGTAAGCGTCCCCAGCAAGCCCATGCTTGTTCCAGGGGCTGGGCGATGATCTGGGACACAGAAGCCCTCCGGCACTGGGGAAAACTCACTGGTCTTTGCAGGGCACTGCCAAGTCCGTGTTCTGCACTTTGAGCCACCTGAGCTGCCAAGTGGCTGCTCCCTCACTCCCAAGTCCTCACACTGCTCTACCTGGTCACCCTGCCCTCCAACACATGGCTCTGGGTCTCTCTTGTCCACCGAATAAACAACTTCAATTTGGGATGAATGGCGGGGATAGGCTACAGGACATACTTCTATGAAGAACTTGTGCAAAAACACTCCTCTATTAAAAGAAATTAGAACGCAGTGTGGAGATAAGACAATTTTTATTCCAGGTGGAGTTTTTCAGATGTTAAAATGCATTTGACTCAAGACATGAATAAAGAGCTGCAGAGAAGGAATGACATACTTATTCACAGGCAGAGGCTGTGGGTGTGAGGGTGTTTCTCCCAGGGCAATCTCTTCTTGTATGCAGGGCCTTTAACACCAGATGCAACAGCCAGGGTCTAAAAGGACACTGAGGGAGAAGGAAGAACTTTGGGGGCTCCCTCTGCTTTGCTTTGACCCTAAGCTGAGGGAGTGGGGCTGGAGGGAGGGAAGCCTCACCGCATAGGGAACACCTTCCCCCCAGGTTAGCGGCAGGCTGGGGAAGTGGCTGCTGATAAAGAAATAGAGTTTCCTCCAAGGACCAGTTGAAGAGCAGTTGAAGCGGCCTCCCATCCCACTGAGCCAAACGGGCTAGGGCCAAAACTTATTTATGACAAGAACTACTACTAATTAGCATGTCTTGGGTTAAGCTTTCTGGGAGCAATCTCATTCAACCCCTACAACCTGGGAAGTATTACCACTCCTCTCTTACTTAAGGGACGCAGCTCAGGGAGGTTTTATGATCTCCCGAGGTAATAACTGCTGGAGCTGGGATTTGAATCTAGGTTTTTCTGCCTTGAAGCGTGGACTCCTAACATTGCAGAACTTGGCTTGCTTGTATACTCATCATGTGTGGTGAATTGAAAGGCACGCCAGACAATGTTTTAGTAAGCTAGCTGGTGGTCATGTAAGTACTCTTTATTCTTCTTCTGTAAGTATTCTTTTGTTATGGAATGTGTCAAACATTCCATAATACATTTTTTAAACCCTACAAGCAAAACAAAGAAGGGAGGAACTTGCAAATCAGCATATCCAGGGCTCAGAGGTTGTTCGCTGCAAAAGGTTGGCGTGTCCACGTCAGCATCCTCATAACCTACCAGCCCAGCCCATGGTGGACCAGGGGCCAGCTTTGTCACATTCTCTGCCTGCTGTGGTCCTTAAGGCATTTATTCTGCATAATGGTTTGTTGCATTATTCCCTAAAACATCTTTTTACTTGTCAAAGAGCACAATGGCCCATAAACACACTGTTTTGGGGAGTCAGAAAGACCTGGGTTTAAATCCCCACAGTCTCGCATTTATAGACTGACTGACTATTCACAAGATTCAACTCTGAGACCCAGTTTCATCTTTAAAATGGGCGGATGGGTGCTGCACCTCTCGCACCAGGTTGTTAGGAGAAATAAATGAAGAATAAATAAGGAAATGAGGGCACAGCACCCAGGACACTGCCTGGCTCATCCTTCCCTCTTTGGCTCAGAAAACAGAGTCACTCTACCTACGGCCTCCTCAGAACTCAGCACAGGAGCCACTGAAGGAAGCCGGGACCGCTGCCCATCCCCCTGTGCCACGCACAGGGGTCAAGAAGGAAGCCAGCCATGAATAATCTCATGTTAGAGAAAACTCAATGGGGAGCTTCTATCTGCTTTTTTTTTTTTAAACAGTCTTTTCATTGAGGTATAATTCACATCCAAAAAATTAAATAGACAATGATTTTTAGTAACATTCTAGTTTTAAACTATATCCATTACCCTGAAAAGAGTCCTCATGCACATACACATCTCACTCCTGCACTGTCCCCAGGCAACCACTCATCTGCTTTCTGTTTCCACAGATTTGTCTTCTCTGGACATTTAAATAAATGGAATCATGAATGATGTAGTCCTTTACAACTTCACTTAGCATAATGTATTTAAGGCTCATCCATGTTAGAGCACGTATCATTGGTTTCTTTATATTGCCGACAACTATCCCATCATATGGATGTACCACAGTGTTTATCCATTCTCCAGTTGATGGGCATTTGGACTGTTTAATTTTCTTTTCAGAACACGAAACTCAAAGAGTGGTGAAGGATCTGCTTGGGGTTGAAAGCCACCCAGTTTATGCTATGGGTGGTCATGAACAGACAGTATCCAAAATAGCTAGAATTGTGTTCCTTCCAGAGTTCTAAATGTCATCTGTCTGTTTCCTGGGGCCTGGGACACTGGCTCCACTGGAAGCCTAAAAACAAAATGTCGTTCTGCCAGCCCACAAAAATGTTTCCCTCGTGACATTTCCCAAGGCTTTGGAAAGAGTATTGCTTTGCATCTGATCAACTATCCTCACACTCGCAGAAATAATATAGACCTAGAGAGAGTTGACTTATCCAAGGAGACAGTGGCTAGCTTGTGTCTAAACCAACACAGGAATCCTGCTCTCTTTTCTCCTCTGGTGGCCGCCCCATGTAAACTGAAGAACAAAGTACCCAGCTGTATTCCAGTTTCCATCAGAAACCGGATTGCCTTGACTCTCTGGGTTCCGACTGATCTCTTTGTTCCCATTAGCTGGGACTAATCTGCATAGATGCTATAGGGAATGTGGCACAAAGGGTAGAATAAATAGGAGAGTTATTTTCTTTCAACATTATTTAAGAGAAACCACAGGCCTGATTTACAAAGGCACAAGCACTGGAATAATCTAACACAAAGAAACCTGCTTTGTAGGGAGGAAGGGACTTGGAGCCAAAGGGAGGGTTGCCTCTGACCGCAGAGTTGCAGGATCCCTATTCAATCGCCTTAAGCCACGGTGGGTGGTGTAAGGCTGGCCCAACTGATTGGGGACTGTGGGTTGTGTGGCATTATTCCTCCAGCTGGGCTCTCTCCGCAACCTACATTCACCATGTAACTTTCCACCTGACTCTTGCAGCCCTGCTGTGTACTGCCCGCCATGCTGTCAATGACTCTCTCCACAGGGGAGTGGCAGAAGCAGGTGGGAGCAGAGCCCACAGGCCCCTTCTGGTGGCCTGCCACTCAGGTGATGTGGGTAGGAAGAAACAGAAAAGATCCACTTGTTGCTTTTATGCGAAAGGTCTAGAAAGACCTCCTGCTTTCTGGCTCAGGATGAAAGAAGCTCAGCATCTACATCTGCGGACATCAGAGCAGGAAACCCAGGTCTGAGCTCATCAAGTCAGCAACCGATTTCACTTTAAAAGCACACACTCCTTCTTAGAGGCATCTGGAAGGGTTTTCCTGCCTCTGTTTCTCCAATCTGCAAGATATGTCTCCCCATTATATTACCTATGCCCCATCTCATGTCTAGATTTCTCTGCACCTTCCTTTGGTCTGCTGAACGCCTCTGCATTCTGTAAAACCCAGGGGAAACATCACTGCCTCTCTGAAGCCCCCTTGACTGCCCCAGGCAGAGCTGATCACTGCCTTTCTTTGGGCGCCATTGGACTCTGTACATACCATTAGCACAGCTCTCTTATTAATAGGAATAAAGGCTAGTTTTGCATGACTGGCTGGACTCTCTGTGCACTCCAGTGCCTAGTGCTGTGTCTGGCATATAGCATGTGCCCAGCAAACATTTGGTGAATGAGATAGGATAAGCCATAGTTCCGGACTTCCGCTTCTCCAGTACAGGAAGATGGGCTCAGGGCCAGGTGTTCTCAAACTCCAGGGATAAAGGCCTTACTTCCTCACAGGGACAGGTTTACAGATGGCCTTGACAGGTGGTGTGTGGGTTGGGGAGGGGTTGAAGGGATCTTGAAAAGCACCCAGGGCAGGGTAAGGCCCAAGCTCACAGGACTCTGGCAAGTCTCCAGGAGCAAACGGATGGGTCCAACTTTTGGGAGCACCGAGGGGGCAAGGAGGCCTCGTCCAGGGGCTGTGCCTCACACCAGCAGCATCTCCACCTGGCTCACTCGGGCCTGTAGTCTCCACCCGCAGGCATCTGCTGTCTGTGCCCTGGAACAAAGGCTCTCTGTGGCTCCCTAAGAGGCAGGTCAGGGCAGGACCTGAGCTGCTGAAATGCTTTGAGGACAGGTGCATACACCCTCCTGGGTCCAAAACCAGCTTTAGTCACTGGGAAGGGGTGGAGATGCACCTACGGGGCTTTCCAACTGCTGATGTTATTTTTCATCGGGAAGAGCCTTAAGGCACTCAATCGTCTTCAAAAGGAAAAGAAAAAGCATTAAAACGACATTATTTCTTTAAACACTATAATGCTTTCTAGTTCTTAAGCAGGTGGTTAGAAGTGTGGGCAACAGTGAGCAGTAGGAAAGCAGGAGGCCTTCAAATCAGCAGACTGAGAGGCTTGTCCACGGCTGACCTTGGGGCCTCCCTTTCCCCTCTGGAACTTAACCTCTTTGGGCCGCGCTTCCGCATCTGTGCGAATGGGATAATGTGAATACTGGCCTCATAAGGTTGCTGGGGACACTACATAAGATAAAATGTTGTGGCACTTATCTCAGTGACTGACACAGGGTGAGTTCTCAATCAATGGGGTCTATTCCTATGATTTAACAGTATGTCACGTGAGATTCCTGTAACCCTAAAATTGTGAATAAAAGGCTCTAAGTACCCTTGCTTATAAGTTCAAGGACTTGACAAAGGTTGGGCCCAGTCATTATCCCTTCATACTGTACAAGTTCAGAATCAGTCTTACCACCAAATACCATCATCATGATCCTTTACTTCCCCCCCAAAATCAATATAAGTAGATCTAGATGGGAGAATGTCATGAAGGGTACGGGAGGCTGGCAATGGGAGACAGTCACAGAGACAGGGTATTTCCTCCTTCACCAAAGAGCAAGAAGGTGAGGTCCCTGTACTCCATGCAAAGGTAAGGAGGCTCTAAAAGAATCACTGCAAGTGGGAGTTCTGCCTTTCTAGTCCCCAGTTGGACACCTGCTTAGTAGACACTTGGAAGATCTGCCCCTTGGCCACCTGAGTGAGGGGAAGCTGAAAAGAGAGATCATATAGTGGGGGATTTCCTGATGACAGGAGACCTGTGCTACCTAGTACAAGTGGGAGACTGAGCCCACACATTCCTGCTGGTTCTATGGTGGAGCATGGAAGGATCATGAGCCCAAGGTCTAGAGCAGGGGTCCTCAAACTTTTTAAACAGGGGGCCAGTTCACTGTCCCTCAGACCGTTGGAGGGCCAGACTATAGTTTAAAAAAAAAAAACTATGAACAAATTCCTATGCACACTGCACAAATCTTATTTTGAAGTAAAAACACAAAACGGGAACAAATACAATATTTGTATTTGCATGTGGCCCGCGGGCCGTAGTTTGAGGACCCCTGGGTCTAGAGCCTTACCAGGACCAGTGTGGTGTGGAGACAAAGGTAGCCTGAATCAGGAGGGTGGTACCTGAATGCTACCAGCTGGAAATGAGCTGCAAGAGCTGGTCAAATCTCACAAACACCACCAGGCCCTGGGAGCAGCATGGGAGGGAGTGTCTGGTCAGCAGGGAGTGCAGAGACTCCCAGCAGGGACAGTAGCAATTACCCAGGAGGGGACAGCACCTTCACCACCAGCCCAATTCTGCTTCTCTGTGCTCTCCCAGTCCTGGAGGCCTGGCCTGGGAACCAGGGAAGGGAAAGAAAGTCACATTATTATGCCCCACCCCCTTCAACCTCCAAAGCCACCTGCACTGGTGGGGGAAAAGAGCTTTGAGGTTGAAGTTTAAAACTGAACAGGACTGAGTCATAAGTATTGACATAGAACTGGTCTAATAATGAGCGTGACTGAAGGGTTATAAATTCAGCCAAAATATCATTACATGAGTCTCGACTTGGCAGGAAATATGGGGAACAACACAGAACAGTTGGGGCAATTACCGAAATACCATAAACCCAATAACTGATACCTCAACACACTGGTTATAACTATGCCTCTCTATGCCCAGACTCACAGGGCTACATTCCAACATCGATGAGGGGCGGGGGGCAGAGTGCCTCTGCATGACATGCCTCCATGGTCCAGCAGAGTTCTCAAGCTTTTCTGCTTTCTTGCACCTGTGCATGGCATAGATTTTATCCATCTGCTGTCCCAACAGACACCATGAACATGAGCTCTGAAATCACACAGAACCTGGGTTCTGATTTTGACACTAACTAGCTACAGGGCTGAGGGATGCCACTCATAATGCCTTTAGCCAAAGTATCCTCATCCGTACACTCAGCTTATTATAAATTCCAACTTCAGTTGTGAGAGCTGGAGCCAATGCACATACGAGTCCTAAAGGCGCAGTTGGTATTATTCATTCAACAAATACTTATTGAGTAGATTCTCTATGCTTTAGGATATAGAGAGGATGAGGCAGGTGGCAGGCAGGTACGTAGGTAGGTGTAGGGGTGTGTGTGTGTGTGTGTGTGTGTGTGTGTGTGTGTGTGTGTAGATGAATGAGGCAGAAGGCAGGGCAATGGATAGATATATGGCAGAATGGCCAGGGGTTCACATTCTGAAGAGCCCTTTCTGCTGATGCTCTGCTAGATGGGCTCAGGCCTGTGGTCCAAACACTCCCAGAAACTGGGAGGAGCATGTGCCTGCCATCTACTGGCCAGGACAAGGACTCTCTACCAGGAGGGAACAGGTTCCTCAGAATGGGAATTTGCATCTCCCGACCTATCCATGGAAACACCACCAATCAATCACCGCATACCCCAGCCATGTGCACACCACATGTCATTCCACCTGCATCTCAACCCGGGGGAAGAGGGCTCACATCCCAGGGGCAGGGGAACCCACCAAGAACCCTCCTCTCAGAGCTGGGAATAGTCCTCACACTCTACAGCTGCTTCAGAGGCCTCTGGCAGCAGTGTGACCATGCCTGACCCGGGACAGGCGAGGCACACTTGAGTTCCCACGGGGGTATTCCAACAGCCCCACTCAGAGACACGAAACACCCACGAGGCACCAGTGGTAGCCAACCCCTCCCCAACACTGGAGGAGTCTGCAGCTCAGAAACACAGCCAGGAAAAGCAAGCTTTCACTGCAGAGCAGAGCAGAGGCAAGAAACAGGTCCCAAACGGAATCCATCAGCAAACTTACCTGCTCCATTGGACTGCTTCCTTCCTCATGCTCCCCCCTCCCCGCCCTGACCACTGGAGCGGATGCCAACCTTGCTAAAGAAAAGTGGTGTCATCCGAAGCCCAAACTGCTTTACCTGTTCTGGGAAAAGTGGAGGCAGGTGCAGCCTAATGAGTTTGGGAGGCTGCCGGGGCCTATGGCAGCTTTGGAGCTGGCAGCTGCTTGTGTTTACAAATAGGAGAGCGAGCGAACGTTTCCAGAGCAAGATGTTGCCCGAGGAGGCTGAGAATTCAGACCAGCCACCTCCAGACCAATAGCAAACCACCAGCAAACACGAATGTGCTAATTAGCCACCAAATTTGAGTTAATTAAAAACTAATCAGGATGTCAAAATGTAGCGTCCCATTAATACATCAAACGCTTTTATTTATTTTTTTAACCTGGGAAAAGTACTACTTCTTCTCATACAACTAAGAGATAAGGATTCGGCCTTTCTCCCTGGGAACTGTGCAGTTTAAATATGTTCTGTGGTTAAGTGTTCTCTCTCCCACAGATAAGGCCCGGCTTGATAATTAACTGACCTGCTCGTCAGGTGACTAAAATCAGCACTGGTTGAGCCCTTCCCCGAGAAGCCGCTGTCTTCACTACTCCCCGCCGTGCCTTGCAGACATGGCCAGTGTGGTAGAATTTGCATTCTTGGAGGGATTCTTTAGGATTTCAGAAAGTTGGCACCCTCAGGCCTAGACATGCACTGAGATGCCTCCAAACCAGAAGGAAAACAAAACCAGAAGAGCCCACCAGCGTCTCTTGTCTTTAGTGCATTCATGTTGTCAATAAGAAACAGGTGGGTATTTCTAATGGGGAAAAGACAGCCTCGTGACAAGCGCTGACTCACCTTCTGCAGACAGCCCCTGAATGTTTATTCCCTTAGCTGCCAGGAAATTCAAGCAGGCATCTATGTTTTCAATCTAGGAGGAAAAAAACACAGCAGACACTCAATCATTGCTCAGCCTTCTCCAGAGCCATCTCTTAACTAGAAATGAAGTGCTATGTCAGAGCGAGGGTTCAACAGGCATCGCTGAAGTTCTCGACAAGGAAACACAGGAGGACATGAATGGATGCAGGTCAGGACTCTACTTTGTCTGTACTTGCACAGGAAAAGGTTACCTAATATCCCAACCGCCCAGAGCCAAAAGTCGAGGTCTTGGATTGCTCACGGCTGCCAAAAATAACCAGGGTGGAATTGGAGCTCTTCTGTTGATCACTGTCACCAGTGCAATCCTGAAAACTTGAGCAGCTGCCCGAAAAACGGAGGTGGGGACGAGGTTAGCAGACCCACCCGTCTGCCAGCAGCTGGGATAAATTTCTCGCCACCAAGGCGGCCAGCAGTCCAATGCGCAGTGAATGGGAGTTTCAGCTGGAATCTGGGTAGTGTTTACTCACAAAATTCTCAGGATGGCAGGCATTGCAGATGACCAGGGAGGGCAGCGACCTTGCTAAACCCCTCTGACCTTTGTGTTTTCTGTGGCATAAAGGGGCACACCCCACAGCCACCTTTGCCAGGGCTGATGCCACGGCCAAAGGCAAGCCAATGTCCAGCTCTCACAAAAGACCCATTAGGTCATCTCCAAAGGTCTGATTTGACTTCAGTTGTCAGGTCTAATTATATTTTGGTCTACAGGAAAATGTTCGGACTTGATTAATGTCAATGGTGACCATAAGTAAAGGCAATTACTTTTGACTTGGCACAGGGATCTTTGAATTTCACGAAATTTTTATGTCACAATGGAGATCCCCCTCACCTCCACAACTACCCACAGCCTACCTGACCTCCTCAAAACTCTACACATTCTTATGAACTCAAACAAGTATTTAACCCATGGAATTAATTTTTCATTAATAAATGGCTGTCTTTCACAGTGTACATGTAACCATCTGCCTTCCCTCTCCCCAAGCAATATCCTGATGATTCCTTCATAGCCACTGAGGGTGAAGCGTCTGCATGTTAAGGGCTCTAATTGAAGTAGAATCTGTTCCAGGCTTCCAGCAGTCTTCCTGAAAGTCATGTCCACCCTCCCCCTGATGTCAGCATCCTCCTTCTCTACCCTCCGTCTTCACATCTTCCAATGCTTTAAATTAAGCCTTGAGACACCTGAATAAAACTGCACCCATTTCAGAAGAATCCATCAACCATGAGTCTGAGGAGTGACACCAAATTAAAAGAGACCCACCAACATATTTAAGAGAAGCACTGCTTTGCTACCACACTGTAATTCCATAGAAATTTTCTTCCAGTGAGCATAAGAGCATTTACTTGTCCCATTCACAGAGTATTCAATGCATACACTATCATTTAAAGTAAGTAGTAACTTCTTGCAAGGCTAGCTGTGGTATGCTTCAATTCAGCCACCTACTGGGCTTTCTTTTAATGTTAAAATCTATTAAAGGAATGAATAATTATAAATAGGTTACCTAGAATATTTTTTCTTCCTGTCAATTTTTTAAAGCCCTGTTACTCTTTTAATGCATTCCATAATTTAGATGGGTAGTTCTCCACTGGGTGGGGGAGAAAGGGAGAGAAGGAGCAAGGATTTGGTTCCTCAGGGCACATGTGACAATGTCTAAGAATTTTGTCCCTCAGGGGACATGTGACAATGTCTGAGAATTTTGTCCCTCAGGGGACACGTGACAATGTCTGGCAGCATTTGGGTTGTCACAATGGGGGTAGGGGGCATCCTGGTATCTAGTCCTGAACACACTACACTGCACAGGACAGCCCCACAACAAAGGATTATCCAATGCAAATGTCAATAGAGCCACGATGAATAAACCTGAGTGACATGATCCTTTCAGTCACTCATCCAGCCAACATATTGTTGGGATGTCTGCTCTGGGCCAGGCACTACGCTTGACTCTCCTGACAGAGGCGGCCAGAGTCCTCCTCTGTGTCCAGCAGCCCACATTTCTATAATGTTTCTCTTTAAGGTCCACAGAGACATTCCACACACCCCTACATCCCTCCATTCCAGGGAGAGTCAGAGCATATCCACAAGGGAAGCATTAGGAGCTTCCCTCATTAGGTGAAGAGAGGAGGCTAAGGGCACCGAGGGTGTTTTCTCCTAAGAGGTGAAGCAGGGAGCAATATGCGATGGCCAGATTGCACTCCCTGAAAATGTTAAAACCAAAAATAAGAACTTGGGTCATCATTTAAAAGATGATTGATAAGCCCATCTAATGCCCTGAAAATCTCCCCCCTCCATTATGAATTCTCTGCTCACAGAGGAGCTCAAAAAACATTCCTGAGCCTCAAATCCACACTTTAATAATGTTTCATTGAGGTTAGAAATCACTCCTGACAAGGCAGCCGAGACCCACACGCTTTTCATCTGCACCCCGGGAAGAGAGCGGAGCCGGGCAGCAGAGCAGGGTCAGCCCTGGATTCCAACCTCCTGGCTGCGCTTGGAATGAGATCAGAAGGGGAGAAAGCTTCTTTGATCCAGGCTCTTGTGATTAAATTTCACCTTAACGTTTTCTTCCAAATACTGCCCAGGTAAACAACCCATCTTCATATGCCATGAGACTGCAAACTGCCACCAAACCCCGAGAGGGGACCGGCCTGGTGGCAGGAGCCCAGCTCTCATACAGTATGAGGGCAGCCGCGGACTCGTCTTTAACGAGGCTCATGTGTGATCCAGACACGCAGTGCGAGATGAGGACCCGGTTCAAGTTGGGAGGCAGAGCAAAGGAAAAGGCTCTTAACCAGCAAGTATGTAAATACAGCCAAGGCTGTTCATTAACACATAGCGGCCAATATAAACTACTTTCCAAAATTAGCTGAAGAAATGTGTGCTAAGTTTGACATTCCAGTGATGTTGAGGGGGCAGGCTGAGGAGGCTGTTGTTCTTGTTGCCATAGCTCTGGGATGGAAATCCTGGCGTTTACAGCATTAGCTGGGGCGGAGGCTGGAAGCCTGAAGGTGGAACCACGATGTGGCTCAGAGACCCTGGGAGCAGAAAGATGCTGGATGAATGAGGAGGTTTAGACCAAGATGCACTTCCAAAGGCTTCCCTTTGTTTGGTGCCATATGTGGCCTCCACCCCAGAGAAAAGGGCTGCAATGAAGCCTTTCTCCCTGTCTCAGCCAGAATCTCCATCCCGAAGTTGAATAGTTTCTCAACAGTCTCTGAACTTTAGACTTGGCAGGGCAACTTCCATGAACTATGTATGTTGCAGCCTTTGTCTCTCACATCCAGATGTAGATCTCCACCCAAGATAGCCAGAGAGCAAGGAAAACCAAAACAAATGCCAAATAACTGGAAAGAGAAGGAAGGATAAGAGGCAAATGGAAAACTCAACATTTCAATCATGATTAAGGCTGGACTGGGTCTCACGATAGCATAAAATATGCAAGTCTCAGAAGCGCGGCTGTATAGCTCCTTGGTAACTTAGAGACTGATCAAATACCATCTGTTGTGGCAGTTGTCATGACAGCATTTTTCTCTGAATACCAGCGTAGCTGAGTGCAAAGCACATGAAAATGATGGATGCAAATGAAGACCATGGGCACCACCACAGCCCAGGGGAAGATAGGGCTGCGGGCACACTGAGTAAATGGGGTGCTAGTTTGTATGAGTTAAGAGTGTCTCCTGTCACCAGGGAGTCCCTTGGAGATCTCCATCCAGGGAGGGTGAAACTGGGAGGGTAGGCAAACAGCTGCTGGCTGAAGTCAGGCATGGTCACAGCCGTTTTTAAAAATCATGAAATGCCTAAAGCTTAGGCAATGGGAGATCCAGACCCGACAAGGATAAGTGAGAAACTTGTAAATTCTGGGACTGAAAGCACAGTGCAGTTTCTTCATGAGCCTCATAGATCAACAGAAACTTCCTTTCAGATGTATGTGATCCTCACACCTGATTTTGCTACTTGCCAACAATATATATCTTCATCACTCATCCATTTGTTTACCCATTTCTTCGCCCATATATACCGAGCACCTACTGGGAGTCAGACAATGTGCTGGTACTGGGTATATAGTGGTGAATAATAGATGTAATCCCCACTTTGTAGAACTTACAGTCTAATGTAGGGGCACTGGCATTTAATAAATAGTGCACAAGTAACATCTGTCATATATTAGAAGACTTGCCTGGGGGATGGGGGGCAGGGAGAACTTCTCAAGGAAGAGATAGCAAGTGGGTCCACAGAAACAGGGCTTTTTGTCTGTTCTGTTCAATGATATGGCCCCAAGCACCTCAAATGGCATGGGACAGGTTGTAGGTGCTCAAGAATATTTGTTGACAGAGGGGAATTTGAGCTAAGACATTGGAGTTCGCTGGGTATCCAGAAAAGGTTGTACCCACCATAGGAAACCTAATGTTTGAAAGCTTCCAGGCAGCAGGCAATGTACCACTTTTGGGAACCAAAAAAATGTCGAAATGGCTGAAGGCCAGTGGGCAAAGGAGAGCAATAGAGAGGACGCTGAGTGCGAGCACAGGGCCAGCCACATGGGGCTGCACCCAGAAGCTGTCTTGGTGAAGGAGAGAAAGCAGGGGTCCTTCCAGTTTTTAGGGAAGCCTTGTCACTGCCCCCATCACCATGGCAACAGCAGGGATGCCAGGGATGGCTCAAGCAGTGTCCAGAGACATCTGGGCTGGTAACAGAGACAAGGAGGAACGGGAAAGGAATGTCAGCATCTGTGGTCACATGTACTAACCAGGAAGGTGTGTTTCATATCTAACCTTTCTGACACTCCTTCCTCTGCGCTCTCCAAAAATAAATATAGAAAATAAATCCAATCATGAAACCAAACCAAAAAGCAAAATGCACTCTGGGGAAACACCTTCCTAAATGCCTGTCTTACCTGTTGTCTGTCTCTTTCCTCTGCATTCCTGGGGGCCACCACCTGATGCATAATTTGCTCAGCTTCATTTGTGTGTGTGTGTGTGTGTCCACTTATGTCAGGGTTGGGG